CTTGTCACGACACCAATCAACACGACAGAGTTTTTGGGCCTCTAATAATAATAAATATTCATCCTTCGTCCACTTATACCTTCATTTGCAAGTAGCAATAATTTTACAATAACATGTGTGAATTGTGAATTTTGTTATTGGATTACCAAAAAACATATTGCAGAAGACGCTGACTGCACTGTATAATAATTGTTAATGCTGTTTAAACCAAGGTTTCATACTTTCAGTCAACATACTTATTTAAACCATTCCATAAAAGCCCTTGCATTTAGTATAATATTTATTATAATTCTCATCGTAGTAATGTAATCACTTAGTTAAGGAAGTCAGTACTGCACTGAAATAATTTTAATACATTATTGTAATGTAAGAGTAATAAATGTCATCGTGACATATTTAGTTGTTTTAAAAAGTTTCAGCAGCTCTCAAAACTTAATTATCAAGTAAATAGGTAAACAAAACTACTGAAAATAAACTTACAACTTGTACATTTTTAATGAATGGCCTTCATAGAGACCACTCACATATGCCTCTTCATGCAACTTTGGAGCTAGAACTTTTATGTGTGTGCAGTCTATGGCTCCTATCGCATCCGGAAATGGCCGTGGGGCATTCCTAAATTTTTCTTTAGCTGCTCCCCGCCTTTCATGGTTCATAGGGAATTTTATATATCTTCTTAATAATTTTTATTAAGAGCCTCGGTTACAGCATGTATAACTCTGTTAATCGATTTTTGTTTCATATCGAAACCTCACTGCAGGTCAACAGGTAGCTGATAGCACCCACTTGCATAAAATCGGAGTGCTGTCAGTATCTATTTAGAAAAAATGAAACTAAGAGTTAATACAAATGAAAATGAGTTAGTTTTGTAAAGGTATATAGGCAATTACATGATGACACTTACTTCGGATTCCGCAGAAAGTCCGTATGGCCGTTGTTTTTTAAGAGATGGCCGAAGTACGCCTACGATCTCGCTAAAAATATTTTTGTAATTCTGTAAAGGTACATGAATTCACTATCCTCTAAATCTAATGGATTTTCACTTTCGCGCTGGTTTCGTGCGATTTGCTGCCGCATAACCATAACACGCCTGTATTCTAGTACTGATAAATCCCATGCTAAATATAATTCCGCCATAATTACTTAATACTTTTATAACTATATATTATAATAGATACTGGATTTTAAAATTATAACACTCTGAAACAACTTTTTATACAACTTATAATCTTTTTTTTTAGTTTATTTAAGGACCAGTAAACGGCTTCAACAGAGGCTTAATAACTAATCTTCATCCTGAAATTTAAATTTAGTGAAGCCAACACCACCAGCATCAGATAATAATTTATAGGATAAATTAACAAAATTGAGAGAAGTGATGGAGGACTTACTACATAATATGCAATATTACAAAATGAAAATAAAAAAGGCTGTTCACATTTTAGTTTTGATTTCAAACAATTATATAATTTAAATTCTGTTTTGATTTATTTTATTTAGTTTTTAATTAACACGACTCATAAGCTTATTAATCACTTTGCTTCTATAGGAGTTAGCACTGTTATTAAAAACGTCAATGTCCCAAAAGTGATCATTATAATTTTGCATTAAGCGATACAACAGCGCTCTTTTGCCAGCATTGGTTCTACACAAGGGAAGGGCAAATGTTTGACGGGTGCATGTTGATCTTACATGTGATCAAGTAGGTACACGATATCGCAATTTATTTGTTACAGGAATACAATCATATCTATTATGGCAAAGGTCAAATAATAACATTGCTTCTAATTGTTGTCTTCTGAGCTATAAAGTTAACATTTTGTATTTATTTAATATAGCATTATACGAACAATATTTATGCTTACATCTATAGAACATTGACTTAAAAAACTTTTTTGTACCCTCTCAATCTGATCGGTATAGACATTTTAAAAAGGATTCCACAAAGCAACAGCGTATTCCAACTGAGAGCGTATCAGTGCCTTATACAAAAAGATATATGTTGCTGGGTTGGTGAAATCCTTACAGGCTCTCATTACAAACCCAAACATTTAAAGAGCTTTATTACATATTTGTTCAACATGTGTATCGAGTGTTAATTTACTGTCAATGGTGATGCCGAGGTCACAAATAGAATGTACTTTTTCAATAGTAGAGCTGCACAGGGAATACGATTGTTGATTAAAATTAATTTTCTTAGTGACAGTTAACATTTTGCACTTATTAATACTAAGACTTAATTTATTTTTTAAAAAATAAGCAGAAAAGCGGTCCAAGACATCCTGAAGTCTGAGGTAATCATCATTGTCACAAATGGTACGATAAATTTTAAGGTCATCAGCGTATAGTAAAAAGTTACTGTGTTGAAAAAAGAAGTCAATATCATTAATAAAAAGTATAAATAATAGTGGTTCCAATATAGATCCTTGAGCTACCCCGGAGGTGACTGACACAGACTCTGATTCGTAACCATTAATAACAACCTTTTGCGTGCGGTTAGTTACGTATGATTTAAACCACTGCCAAAGATTTCCACGTATACCGTTGAAAGCATTTTTATCAAGTAGGATTTCGTGATCAACTCTGTCGGAGCTTTACGAAAGTCTGTATAAATACAGTCAGTTTGATGATTTGAGTCTAAATTTTCAAATAAATCCGTTAGATATATTAATAAATTGGTAGTAGTTGATCGTCGTCTTACGAAACCGTGTCGTTCGGGTATGATTAAATTATGCAGTAATGGATATATAGAATTAAAAAGTAATCGTTCGAAGAGCTTCTACACAGCTGAAAAAATAGAAATAGGACGCTAGTTCTCAACATTTCGTTTTGAACCACACTTATATACAGGCACGATTCTAGCAGATTTCCATATGTTAGGACATATAGCTTCACTTAAACATTTATTAAAAAGGAAAGACCGATGTCTTTTTGTTTAACAATATTAACTGCTGTATTTTTCAGAAATACTGGTGATATATTATCGGGCCCCATACCCTTGTTTGCATTTAACGCCTGTAACTCTTTAAGAACTTCATCCTCTAATAGTATGATAGATGTTAAATTAATGTGTGAATCAGGGCATTGTGTAAAGTCGATACTATAATATCATATTTAGATGAAACTGAAGATGCTTCAAAGGTTGAATGAAAAAACATTGAAAATAGCGTACATGCTTCTGTAGAATTAGTAGCATTATTATCATTATAGTAAACATTGTCAGGAATACTAGCAGTATTTTTACGCTTTGATATATATGTCCAGAAATGCTTTATATATTTTTTAATATTATTTTGAATTGACGACATGTAGTTTTTATATCTTATTGCACACTATTTATTAAAGTACTTTCTAAGCCTAGACAATTCGTTATAATCATAAGAGTTTTCATATTTTTCCACTTGATCCAGGCACGCTCTTTACGTTTGAAAGTGTGAATTAGAGTGGCGTTAAACCAGGGAATGAAGATTGTTTTAAGATTTTTGTAGGTATGAACTTTTTAATAAAACCATAGAGTATTTCGTAAAAATCTATCACAGCCTCTTCAGCAGATTTACCTGAGAACATTTCGTCCCATGGTACCTTGTAAAGTTCATTATTTATGAGTCAGCATTTCGAAAACAAAACTGTTTTCGTGAAATCGTTGGCATAGACTTGTTATCATGCATAAAAGGCACTAAAGCATAAAAAGTAGGATGAAGACTATCCAATGGTAACAAATTATAAGGAGCATCCATAATTTTACATTCTAAAATATTTGATATAAATAAATCTAAGGTGCGGTCATTTAAGTTTCTAAAGTGATTAAATTGGAAGCTGTTCGTCAAAGCCATAAAATTAATTAAGTGCCTAGAAAATAAACATGCGTTACTATAAAAGGTAGGTTCTAGATAATTATCTTCAGGAAGCTAATTAATTTTGGGTAAGTTAAAGTCTCCCACCATTAAAATTTACATGAGTCTAAAGGTTGCATAACATATGTAATCTAGGTAAGTAAGGTATACTTTGTTATTTAAATCGGGTGGAATATATGAAGCGCATAACAGAAGCTTATTAGAACCCGTACCTATAAGTATCAAGGTATGGTCAGCAATAGGAGGCGGCATGAGGCGCGGAGGGCAGGCCGTATGGCACGGCAGCAAGTGAGTTGCGCACCGCTACTCACCACCGCCGTCTTTACGGCCGGTCGCCGTCCGATTCCGATCGCTGCGAAATACTCCGTAACGTTGATCTATTAATTAGTTATCATAAATGCCACTATGAAGCCAAGTTTTTGTCAATATTATTATGTCATAATCGTGAAGTAAAATATTCATAAAAAGAGTGTGCTTAGTTCTTAAGCCTCGACAATTCTGATAGTGAATTGATGTGCTTTTTTATTTCGGAATCCATTAAATAAAACTTCATAATTTATTCAGTATTTCATTAGAAATATTGTGAAAAAAAAATAAGATTAATTTTCGATACACATTTTAAATTAAGTAGATGAGATGAATTTTTAAAATTTCTTTTATCATTGCGCCGTATTTGTGCATAATGATAAATGACTAAAAATATCCTAATTATGTTAATGTTTTGTGTAAAACAATAAAGTATTAGATAATTTAAAATTTTGTTGCATAATACATAGTATATTTTAAAGTATAGTTTTATAAAATAGTCTAGAAAATAAGTTACTGACCTTTATGCAGAAGTAAATGTGCAAACAACATGCTCATATATCAGTATCCCCCATATATCAGTACAAAAATGTAATAATAAAAATAAACGATAAGAGAATAAAAATAAAATTGATATCAAATTTCTATTACAAATTGTTCTAAAGCTTAATTTTTTTAAGATCCTGTAGTGAGCGTATTGGTAAGATAGGAGATGAGTCAGTTTTTCGTACCAAAACTGTACCATTCTTGTACCATATTTATAGTTACATGTTTTGGCCTTTTCACGGGATTCTCGAAAAATCTGTTTATTTTTAAGGTTAGATGATCATTTATATATATTTAATTCGATGATCCAGTAATAGACAACTGATCTGAAGTTAAGACTTTTTTAGCACGGTACGAAGCTACAAAATTATCACGCAAAATTTTGGACTTAAATTTTATTATGGCATTTTTAGGTCGTTTATTCTTTTCACCAACACGAGGAACCCGATGAGCCAAAATTATGTCAGATGCTTGGATTTGCTGGTTTATTAGCACGCCAATATTAATAATGACTGTAACAAGATTTTCTCCACAGCGCTCAGGCAAATTCGATATTTCAATGTTACAATCACGTGCCTGTTGATCCATTGCAGCCAGTTTAGTCTCCATAACCTCTAATTTGTCAGATAAATAGTTGTCTTTAGAGACTTGACTTTCTACGGACTTAAGCCGTGTATCAAACGATATTGCCTGCTTATTAAGATCGGGTAAAGTAGTATCGACCTCCGACAGATGATTATTTAAATCCGTAATACCTTGTTTTAAATTAATGTTCTCATCTCGCAGCTCAGATATGGTTGTGTTTAGGCTTGATAATGAGTGGAATATTTTAGCCAATTCGTTGGAGATCATGGAGGTGACTATATTTGTAGTAGTTTCCTTAATTTTTACGTCAAAGGTATTAAAATGTTCGTCAATTAGTGTGGACAGAAATTCTGAGTCATACCCTCCAGTGAAACGCTTACGTGTATTTACATAATTAGCATCTGATGTAGTTAGACTTATGTCTGTATTTGATGGGCACTTCGGCGGAGTTTTCTGTAACTTGGAGATACGTACAGTATAGTTGCGATATGAGGCAGGAGTAATAAGACAGAGATATTACACTTTCGCTGTCTTGAGGGGGTGACGTGCGGGCTCCCTTCAGTTGCAACTCACAGATGCGATGCAAGAACGAGATAAACACAAGTATTAACACTGATGAGTAGCAATGTTACAGTACACCGCACAGTAGTGTTACCCAAAATCGGTCTTGGTCTTGCAGTCTTCGTCTTGTTCTTGCATTTTTGCAAGACCAAGATCAAGCACAAGACCGCCTAATTTTAGCAAGACCAAGACCAAGACTGACCGCGCAAGATTTGAGCAAGAACAAGACTGAGCCTGCGAGACTCTTGCGTCTTGCAGTTAGGAATGAGTGTCGTTTCAGGGAGTATAGGAGTTCGGGTATACGCTTAGCGACTCTATGAGACGCAAAAAATATATAAAAAAATTTGGAAAATTGGACTTATGCGCATTACGAACAATACCATAAACATACATAGCGGATGAAAATATCCATTAAAAGAAAAAACAGTGCATTCCTAGTTTTGACCATCGGCACTTTGATAGTGCACGGCGTCTTGTTGTCGGCATCATCAAAGGTCGAATACTGACCTGTCAAAGAAATTTTGCAGCTAATCGGAAGTACAAGGTCAAGATACACGCGCCGGCGGCTTCTATTGATATCGCATTCAATCGTCGCCGCTGCGCCGCACGCACTACTTTTGACACTGTTTGAATGCCGCCACAGAGTACATGTTCCAAAGAATAAAATAAGTTTTCGGGTGCTCAGAATGGACACGAATACATTATGCTGATCTCGCAAGGAATATTGTAATTAGATAGTGGTAAGGATAGGTAGATACCATAATAATTTATTCTAGTAAGTAATTATTATAATATTAACTATATGGGTTTATAATAATTCCTTACTATTATTATTATTACCTTATAAATAAACATGTTCAATAAGTTCACTGCAAATCTTGATTTTTGGAAGTGTGTGTTTTGAACACAAAGTGTTAGAATATGTCGTCACCCATTTGATAAATATTGCAGACACTTTTAACACACTTGAAACGTGTAAATATTTTGTATAATGTTAATCGAATAATATAAAATGTGCATATTAAATAAAAAAGCGTAAAATAAGATCTATGTACTTTTTAGGAGCCCGAGTATCTCTTAGAGAACCGTTTAAATAAATTGATTGCATCGAATTGATGTAAATAATTATATAAACTTCCTTAATAATACAAACTTCCAACTCCAATTTCACTCCCTTAGGGATAGATTTTCTCAAAATCGTTTCTTAACTGATCTCTATGCCATAAAAGGAACCTACCTTACAAACTTCAAGTTTATATGTTTTATAGTTCCTGAGATATCGTTATAGTTAGTCAGTGAAAGAAAGTGAAAGAAATTCAAAATTCAAATATGTTTTGTTCAAGTAGGCATTAAAAATACACTTTTGAATAGTCATATAATCACTGTTTTCCCCAATTTTTTCTTTTCCATGTCCAGGGGTTCTGATTCTACTGAGAAGAATCATGGAAGAAAGTAAGAAACTCAGTAGTTGCTCTTTTCAAAATATTTTTACAATAGTTCTATAATTATGTAAAGCGATAAGTCAAACACAAAATGTCAAATGTATATGTAGATACCTGTGTAGTACGACAGGTCAGTTCCAAGCATTTTTGTCTGACTTAAATTGAAAAGGTGAAAGATCTAACATTTCTTTTGGGATCTTATTATAAAAGCGTATATCGCTACCCGGGAACGCATTATATACTTTGTGTAACCGGAAAGCAGGTATTGTGATTTTATTTTTATTTCTAATATTAAAATTGTGCAAATCACTATTATTTACATCAAATCGATGCAATCAATTTATTTAAACGGTTCTCTAAGAGATACTCGGGCTCCTAAAAATTACATAGATCTTATTTTACGCTTTTTATTTAATATGCACATTTTATATTATTCGATTAACATTATACAAAATATTTACACGTTTCAAGTGTGTTAAAAGTGTCTACAATATTTATCAAATGGGTGACGACATATTCGAACACTTTGTGTTCAAAAACACACACTTCCAAAAATCAAGATTTGCAGTGAACTTATTGAACATGTTTATTTATAAGGTAATAATAATAATAGTAAGTAATTATTATAAACCCATATAGTTAATATTATAATAATTACTTACTAGAATAAATTATTATGGTATCTACCTATCCTATGCAAAAGTCTTGCCTAAGTATAAAGAGGCTATATAGGTAAAGCTTAACTATGCAAGTATTTATTATTTAAAACTAATAAAGTAAATATCGATCTCCATATCTATACTTTAAAAATATGGGACTTGCATGTAACCATTTTACCCCAATTTCACCCCCTTAGGGTTATAATTTCGTGAAACAGCTTATTCAGGATTTTATTATTGAAAACTTATAACTTTAATGCCGATTTTCGTGTCTCTAACTTTAAAAACATAGGACTTACATACAAACTTCCAACTCCAATTTCACTCCCTTAGGGATAGATTTTCTCAAAATCGTTTCTTAACTGATCTCTATGCCATAAAAGGAACCTTCCTTACAAACTTCAAGTTTATATGTTTTATAGTTCCTGAGATATCGTTATAGTTAGTCAGTGAGTGGTAGTTATATATATATATATATATATATATATATATATATATATTATAGTGTTAAATATGTATTTATGATTCACTCATATTTTCATTTGTTTTTATAATCGGCGAGACACGTGATTTACTGTTTTATTTCAGTCTGAAAATAGCAGTGACAACATCAAGACAGCTACAATTGATTGGATGGTTAAAAAATATCTTCCCTTCTCATTTTTCGATGACGAAGCTACACAAGTATATTTTCGATCAATTTGCCCAAATATGGTGTTTCCTAAAAGGTCCACACTTAGATGCAAGGTCAAAGAACGGTTTGAAGAGCTTCAATTGAATCTTAAGAAAGGACTACAACAATTTTCATCTAAATTGTCATTTACCATTGATGGATGGACGTCAATTGCTGGTAGGAGTTACTACGGGGTCACTATTCATTATATAGACAACGAATGGACGTATCGATCTGTAGTCCTTGATTTTATACCATCACGCGGTCGACATACTGGGGAAGATATTGCAACGATTTTCCACGAATGTTTATTGGAATATGACATAATTGATAAAATACAGGGTATCACGGTCGACAACACAACTGCAAATACCAAATTTATATATGAATTGGACAAAAAGCTGCCATACTTTGATTCAGACAATCAACATTTCCGGTGCTTTGCTCACATTTTTAACCTTGGTGTACAAGATTTACTAAAGACCTTAGCATTATACAGTGAAACTGACAATAAGGGACAAGAACAGCAGTATGAAGATAATGAAGACGAAACTGAGGAAGATGAAGAATATGCGCCAAATATTGCTGACTCACGTACAGCTATAACAAAATTACGCAGTATTTCCAGTAAAATAAAAAGAAGTGAGATATTGAAGAGGAAGTTTTAGTCTGCTTGTGAAGCAGCTAGCGTGCCATCAAATCTGAACCCCATACGCGACTGTCCAACGAGATGGAATTCCACACATGATATGATTGGATTTGGTTTAAAATTGAGAACTGGCATTAACATATTGTGCACTTCTGTCACCGAATTGAATGATTTTCAAATCACAGATAGTGAATGGCAAATACTCGAAAAAATGCATAAGTTTCTAATAAACTTTAAACTTCTATCATCGAAACTTGGTGGAGAAAAATATGTTACATTACCGCTAGTCATTGTATCATTCAATCTCTTGCTCGATAAAATTGAATCCATGGTAAAACAATTAGATGAGAAACCTAATCGATCCGAAGTGGATGAAAGGCTCATTCTGGGTTTTCAAGCAGCTCGAGACAAAATGAGCATTATAAAAAGAGCAACTGGATTTATTGTACCTCTTTAATTTTAGACTCAAGGCATAGGACTCAGACTTTTGACATGACATTATGGGGGGAAGCAAATTAAAACAGAAAGCTTGCACAAATTTAATGAAATTTATAAAGAATATAAAAGTCTACACTCAGTGAACACATCTCCAGAATCACCAAGAAATGAAAAGAAAGTATGTGAATATGATGAAGATGAAGACATAATAGACTGAGTAATTGTATGCATGTCCCTCGACGTCTGGATCTTTTCATCAAGGCTTAATTATATACGAGTTGGAGGAGTACCTAAGTAAACCCAGAGCCGTCAGTTCGGAAGACATTTTAGAGTGGTGGCTGACGCATGAGACAGAATATCCGACTTTATCGAAGATGGCCCGTGATTTTCTTTCAATACCTGCAACTTCAGTACCTGCTGAGAGATTATTTTCTAAAGCATCATTAGTAATTAGAAAACATAGAAATAGGTTAAGTGATGAGTCAGCCAGATAGTTACTTTGTATTAATTCTTGGTCAAAAGATTTAATATAAAGTAACAGTAATGTCAAAGCTGTTGTGTACTGTTATGTAATTTAATTTGTATTGTATTTTATTTTTTTATTTAAATAAATGGTTAATTGTATGTACAATCTCTTTCTAGACAGATAATGTTCTTTATAATACAGTGAAGTTAATGTCGTTAATTTGTTTTTTATATATTTTTTTATTTATAAAAATTTATATTATTTTATAAAATTAATAAAAAAACAAATTTGACGTTTGACGTCTGTCGTCTCTAATATTTTATTAAAAATATTATAAAATTGTATCTTTGAATTATAAAATTATAAAGTATTATAAAAT